TCCCAAGGCCAACGGGGAATTAGGCCGCTCAGAACTACCATGATGATCTAATGATGCAAGCCAGGGCTCGACTATTTCCAACTGTAAGCGAGCGGATTTCGCAAATAAGATGATTTCAGTGTCGAAAGAGGCGGAACCACTGACGCGTCTAGCGAGTGTTCCACCCACGCTCGTGCGATTTCGATACGAGCTCAATCGCACGATTACTGATGGCGCTGCGTAGTATGCTGCTCCGCATCAAGCAGTAGTATGCAGTCAACACATACAAGGCATTAAATTGTAATACCTATTACTGTTGTTCCGGGGATAAATTGAAATATATTGGCGCTACCTACATGACTACGGAACATGATCGTAGTTCTTCCCACATTTCTGGAACAGTGTTTATGTCGAAAAACATCAGGAATCCTGCAAAAAAACCTGCGGTATAGTGGAATGCCGTCAAAAAAAATTGGACGATTGCGACTGATAAGATGTGGTTCAACCCCAGATTTGACAGTTTTTGTCGCCTACGCACCAACATCAAGCTAAGACGAGGATGAGCTCGAAGCGTTCTATATGGAATTGGAATAGTTCTACAAGGAAGACCACACCTTCTTCAAGGTCATCGTCGGTGATTTCAACGCTAAGATCGGACCAAGGAGAACGGCTGAAGAACTTCACATCGGAATTGACGGAATGGACTGGAATGGGCAGGATAAAAGGCTATCTGGAGTTTATCACGTCGCCTATACCATCCGTGCAACTCGCAGTGGACAGAAGCATTACTCTCTACGCTGGACACGGGATTCTCGTTGTGGACGATTCCATAATGAGATCGACCAAAATCATCAATTGAAGGTTTTGCCTGACCGAGATGTCGCTGTTGTTCCTAAGTTCTATTAGGTGTCCACAATGTTCGTTGGCCCATTCGTTTTTCAAGAGCTGGTAATGATATCTCACCAAGTTGAACTTACCGGTCCATGATATAATAATCTCCATGCATACTCACTACCTTTCGCCGGCGATCGGGTAGAGAGGCAACTCATCCTCCCAGAAGCCGGCCAGCCACAACTCGGCCAGTCCTCGATCCCCGTCCTCTAGTCGGCGCTCGTTCTTCAGCTGTTTTCTGTCCAAGAAATTTTGCATGGACCGAAAATGTGGTAATCGCATGGACTAATGTCCGGGCTATACGGTGGATGCGGTGATCGTCTTGATGCCCAGCCGTCCAGGACGGCCTGAGTATCTCTCGCTTTGTGGGGGCGCGCGTTGTCTCAGAGCAACCACAGGATTTGCAGTTTCTGGATAAGGCGGCAGCTTTCACCTTGACCTCCTGCAATTCTTTAGAGAGGGTCCTCTGCGTCCCTGTGGCATTGTTGGGTAGGATGCTGCAGTGGACGACGCCGTGGCGAGAGAACCAGAAACCTCGGCATATTTTCGATGCCATAGTTTTCATTGGTGAAGCGAGTCCACCATTTTGACATCCAGTTCTTAGAACGGGAGTTATCACCAAACTGCTGACGCATCCTGGTCGTGGCCTGACGTCTGGAGATGCCCAGGTTGTAGTAGTCCAGCAAACATCGGCGGTGGTGGTGACTATCACTAATCTTCACTGCTTTATTGTGGGAAGAGCAGGAAAGGAAATTTAGAGCTAGCTGGCTCAGAAGATAGCCCATCGCGAGTACTTTCAGTATTGCGAAATCTCTATGCAAAATCACAACGCGTTGCTTAACGCGACGCTGTTTACAAATGGCCAACGAACTTTGTGGACACCCTAATACACGGGATCCAACCACCGTCTCCTTCGCGCAAGATTCCGCTTCACGATGCGAGAAGAAAGAGCCGCAAAGTTCAAGAAGCGAAGCCCCAAGTCCGTCATCAACTGGGATCACTTCACTTCTCTCGCTGGGCTCTGGAAATATTCCGCTATCGACAACATCGACGAGGAATACGAACGGCTCTTTCTCACGACTGCGCCAAGAAGTCAAAGAGTTCCAAGATTACCAAGAGGCGTTTGTCTCTGGAAACTCTCGAGCTGATTCGCCAACGTGGAGCCGACGAGCCGCAGGCAACTACCAGCTGACGTCTGAGCTTGCGAATCTATGCAGAGAAGCGATAAAGAAAGATCTCAAGGAGAGAAGAGCAACAGTACTGATGGGAGAGCAGAGGCGGGGAAAATCTGAACTCTTCGACAGCCACGTCCACCTGCCACCATACCTCTTGGAACAGGACGGATACGTTATTCTTGCAAATCTCTCTTCCGAAGTCCGACACGCCATCTCGTCGGTGAAGTATCGTACGGCACACGGTCCCGACAGGATCAGACCCGAACATCTGAAGAATCCTTCCGCCAGTCCTTGTCAAAACTCTGGCTCGACTTTTCACCCGCTACCTGTCAGAATGCAAGGTGTCCACCTCGTCGAAAACCAGCAAGACTGTTGCTATACAAGAAGGGAGACCTGTACGACAGTGGCAATTATCGCCCAACCTGCCCGTTGTCTGTAGACAAGCTCTTCACACGAGTCATCCTGCACAGCAATGGCAGAACACTACACGAAGGACAGCCATAACAGAAGCAGGGTTTCGGAGAGGATTAAGCACGATAGATCACATACACACGGTAATGAAGCTCATCGAAGAATCGCGGGAGTACGAGATGCCGTCAGATCTCACGTTCATCGACTTGAGGAAAGTTTTCTACTTCGTTGAGACAGACGCGGTTATCGAAGCCCTGGGCAACCAGGATAATCCTACTCAGTACATCAGCATCCTTCGTGAGCTCTACAACAACTTCATGACCAGGACCTCACCATTCTACAAGGAGATCATCATCGACGTGAAGAGAGGGGTCTGCCAGAGCGCACCATCTCGCCCAAGCTCTTCAGCGTCTTTCTCGAGAACCCCATGCTCAACTGGAATGGAAAGACATGGTAGTGAAGATCGACGGTCGGCAACTACACCTTATCCGCTTTGCTGACGACTTCGTTTTGATAGCATCATATATCGAGCAAACGTAACGAATGCTGGCTGATTTCGACTGCGCGTGTGGAAAAATCGGTCTACAGCTGAATCTAACGAAGACGATGTTCATAAGGAGCGGGATGGTTTCTGTTGCCCCATTCATACACGACCACTCTGAATGCTTTAGCTATGTGTACCTAGGTCGTGAATTCAATATGGTAACGACTTAGCACCAGAGCTGAGCAGGAGGAAGCGAGCGGCTTGGGGAGCCTTCAAGAACATCGCGCGAGTAGCGAAGAAGACGAAGAACACCAAGCTTCGTGCCCACCTCTTCGATTCAGAGGTCCTCCTGCTTCGACTTATGCCTCAGAGACTTGGACTCTACAAAAGCAGGATGAGCATGTGGTAGGCGTTATTCAACGCGTAATCGAAAGGGCGATGCTCGGAGTTTCCCGCTACACGCAAGTGAGAGAGGGAATCCGGAGCTCCGCATTCCGCCGACAATCGAAGATCAGAGACGCCGCCGCATTTCCCAAGGTTTCGAAGATCAGGTGAGCCGGGCAAGTCATGCGTTTCGAGGACGACCGATAGACCAGAGCGATTACCATCTGGATTCCACGGGATGTCAAGCGAACACCTGGACAACCGCCTACGCGATGGTCAGACTTCTTCGTGAAAACATTGAACGAATGGTATGAGGTTCATCGCGTCCCTTGAGCAGAGAGCGAGAGAGAGAGAGTATTGGGCAACTCTTCCATGTTGCAGGGACGAATGGAGAAGTTACTGGCGCCTGCTCGAGGAACTCGATGATCAACGGGAGCACAGGTGCTACAGGTGATAGTGAAATGTATTCATAGCAGTAGTGCATTCCGTTTGATAACAACCTCTCTCACTCCTTACGGCGTCAACTCCACTAGGCTGCTAGGAAGCTCCAATGGTATCCCCATCCAGTTTTATTGAGGTCTCACGAACTCAAGGAAAGTTTTACACAATATGTGCATAATGTCGGTTAGATTTCCAACGAAGGGTGTTAGAATCCTGTTCCTATGAAATACAAGTATACGGACAACATATACGCAGCTAAAGACACGTCATGCGATAGCGTTTTCAGGGTGGAGGTGTACGAGCACTACCCACAAAACGCAGTGTGTGACAGCGCGTGACTTGTACTCACGAGGCGACTTCCTTGTAAAGAGCAAAGCAAGAAGTACTGAGTAAGTCCTAAACAAAACATACGTACCAGAACACAAAATCAGAATTTCGGTGATCCTACAAACTATTGCACCAATTCAGTTGCATTATTACTGAACCGAGGGAAACGTAATACGTATCTTTCTTAGCGATGTGTTTCGCTTTCGATTGTTTGTGCCTCTCTGCAAAAAAAGCAATTGGAGTAGTGCAGAATTTATCCAAGCACAGGCGCTTTATCTCCAGTGCAAAACTTCCTTCAAGCATAGGTGCTTTATCTCCGTGTAAAGAAAGTGGTACACTGTCTGCGAGGGCGGACCTGGCTACCAGATGCGTGAAGGCGCTTTACATACCACTTGATCGCGGGAAAGGTCTTCAAAGTGAGCGGTACTTGTTGATGCGAATTTGACAAAAAGAATGCCATGTCGTGTAATGTTGCAACAGCCTTTCAATGTTTTTGTAAACTTTAGTTTTTCATAGAAAGATGAAATTGAATGCTGGTTCTTCCGATATGTTGCACGAGCTATTTTCCTGCTGAGATTCTGCCAGCCTTGCAAGATCAAAAATTCAGCTAAGTCGCACAGTTTTGCAACGGTGAACATTACAGTCACTCAAAGCCGTGGAATATTAGCAATCATGCTATACCAACTTTACGTGGAACTAGCTATAACTAACTATAACTTTTCTCTACTTTCAAGATCCTGAAGAGAGTACGCTTAATGGGGGCGCTTGAAAGCACAGTTTATTCATTGTAGATTCTGCAGTGGCTGCCAAGTATCACCTCCCTCCCGTAAATGTTGGTGACACTGCTATACTGTTAAGTGTTGATCCTTAACATCGCACTGAATCCGCGACGGTCGCCTGCAATTCTACTAATCACGCTTTACAGTAGCAGCATTGCTGATTATTAATCGACTAGAACTTGGATTGCACATACTCTGGGCAATCGGTGTGGCTGGAGCTCCGCCGCGAAAAAGCTGGGCAGAAGAATTCACGACAGCTGTTGGACGCCGCACGCACACCTCCATCCTTTTCATACCAGTGCGGAAACTAAAATATTGACTCTGAACACATTATTCCACTCAGATTCTTTCGGGAAGTTCTCGTTCCATCAAGATGAAGAATACTAAAATAAGTCAACAAAAGAGAATAGCGAAAGAAAAATGAAATCCTTTGAAAGACTTACTAGTTGGTATTGGTGTAAGCATGAAGATGACTCATTGTAACAAATTTGTGCTCAAGACCTTCCAAAGGCGTTAAACGAAAATCTTGGTTGAGCACCAACATTTTTTTCAGTATTTCGACAAATTCTTGACGATCAAGTCGATCACAAATCTGTTCAATAGGGTCCGATTCGAAACCGTAACATACCTGAAAATACCGACGACGTTTCACCAGAACAAGTTCAAAACTTCCGATTCAGTTGAATTTTCTAATGGTGGGCCGAATAAGAGACCTCGCGTTTTGTACGATGATATTTGGAGGTGGCTACATCCTACATGATATCTGCACACTCAGCCAGTATTCCTACTTCAGTCCTTCCCATCCACTCCTGGTTAGTACGAGGAGCCATTTGCTGCGACGACCCATCACAGTAGCGCCTCCAAACGGAACTGAATCTCATTCGAGAGATCGCTGACCCTCCATCATCCCTCTATTTTTTGCTGTCCTCTAGTTCTTCGGTTCTGGCCTCTCGCCCGCACTGGTTATGTCTCTTCTCGCATTATCGCTTGTTTTTCCAGTTCTCAAAATCACATGCAAAAAGGAGGGCCTTAGCTAGGGCCCTTTCGACGGTTCCGTCGGCTTTTCTTAACTTCTTTCTTCACCGCTCGCTTTTTCTATTTTTCGCGATTCTGAGAGAATGTTCAATATGGAGAGCCCTTCAGTCCATATGTCCCTGGTGCATATGCTGCACAGCAAGCGTGTCTATCTCACTTCAGTGGCCGAGGACTTGCTTACCTCTACTCACCTCACCGGTGGACTACTCTGTGAACGTTTCAAAGCCTTTTTCGTTTGCCCCCCCCCCCAGCGCTCTTCACGCTCCACCCACAACGGATGTGCCTCGCACTTCTCAGCCCGTGACCCATTATTGACATTAACCCACTTTTTCCCGGTGTCTTTAGTGGTCTGGGAGCGTTTTGAGGATTCTTCAGTCTGGCTCCGCCTACCCCATGCACGTTTCACCCACGACAGATGTGCCTCGCATTTCTCAACCGTGATCCATCGCTGACATCAATATATTTTTTTTCACTGTTTGGAGTGCACTGGAACCGTTTCACGAGCTTTTAAATCAGGCTCCGCCCACCTCGGCGCACGCCTCGCCCACAACGTTGTATTGCACTTCTTAGCGGGGACCATTTGGGACCATAATCCACTTCGCGTCTGTAGTGCTCTAGGACCAAACTACGATTTTTTAAATCAAGACCTTACGTTTGAGGTCACGCCCCTCCCACTGTAGGCGGGTCACAGCATACCCCAGAAATGACGGACTCTCCCCAGATGTTTTCCTTCGCCACAGGCTTTTTTTGCAATCTCTAAACTCTCCCGGAGACCGAGTTACCGACATTTGTGGGAAGCACCGAACATCTCAAGGGCGCCCCGCCCATTTTGAATGTGCCTCCTCCATTTGATGGGTCAACCCCTTGCTAACCCTGTCCCACTTTTCCTCCATCTCGAAGCAGCTCTGTAGCTGAATTATGAATTGTTTCAGTGACACCGGAAGCACCGATTATTTCTATATGCCCCGCCCATTTGGGGTGTCTCGGGAGCCGAATTATGAAATTCTTCAGTGAGACCATTAACTTTCAACGCATTCCCCGCCCACCGTGCGCGGGGCTCACCATGGGTTACGGTTGTTCTCTACATCTCCTCACATACCCTACCCAACCCGACCTTGACCCCACCTCTCCAAGCTGCTCTTCTGGTAGAACCGAATTTCCGGACAGACAAACAAACAAACAGACGAAGCAAAATTATATGTAGTGGGTGATATTTGATATTATACGCCTCCCTATAAAAATAAAGCCCAGTCTCAAAAAATATGACAGAACATTACTGCCAACCTAATACTTGGCTAAGTTTGGCGATCAAGAAGGACGTCATTTCCGATGGTTGCGTAGCATTTTAGCGTTGGAGCGCGCCATCCTACTTCACACTACCACTACTACACTGTGAAGATTTTTCAAAAAGTTTCAAATAGTAGTAAGTTATAGATATTAATAGTTGTACGGCTTCGCCCTAAAATAACGACGGAAATTTCTAGAGAGCGCGAGCTTCCAAACTTTCTTGCTACATAAGTTGAGTAGTACAGGACAACAGACAAAACAAAAACCGGTGCGGATATGAAGAGTTCCTCGTTTCACCATGGGGCGCGCCACGCACACGACCTAAACTCGCATTCCTCGTGACAATCAAACTCGTGTTGCTCCATGGAATAACTTTCTGAGTGTTATGACACCGTCCCTAGAGTTAGAAGCATGTGGAATTCTAGAGTAAGCGCTCATTTCGCTTTTGATCCTTATCTTGCATACACCTTGTCACAGTTCTGCTGACTGCTCGTCTCTATGAAGGACCTACCTTATGAGCCGGATACGACCGTTGAGGATTCCTCAACAAGCATGCCCCTGGTTGGACACTAATGGGAAAAACGTGCTGTCTACCAATTGGTTTTACGTTTTTTTTTCTATTTATATCAAAAAGGAGACCTATATATCTTCACCGTTTTTATTCATCCGCGTAATCGCGAGAGCAAATTATGGTTAAACGATATCAAGAATTGTAGGTGGAAATAATTTTTGGCCCTATGCGAAGACCAGCAAACCCCGTTCGTGGCACTACTAGGTAGATAAACAGACTAAATTATGTAGCTTTTGTAGCAATAGAGACTAAAATCATCTATGCAAATTTTCAACGCAAAATGTGATAGAAGCTGCTCACCCGACTAATATCATCTAAAAATGTGAAGATGTACTTCCTCGTTTCTTTGGATTTGACATGAACACCGGAGGCCTCGTACTCCTCTACAGTTTTCATCCGGTAATAGGTTGGTTGGACCGGGCCGGACATGTCGGCCTGCAATGGAACCTTTCACAGGAAGGAGGTATGACAAAGCGTTCGCAATGAAACTTAGCGTTATTAAGGGGGACAAGAAAAAGTGTTGCTGTGCGAGGCAATAATAGTCAAAAATCAGTGATTACGTGAACGGTCAAAACATGCACAGACACACATACACATAAACACATCACCCACACACACACACACACACACACACACACACACACCACACAACCACACACACACACTACACGCACCAACAGACAAACTTGGCGAATTGTATATGGTAGGATTGTATGCCCTAAGGAAAACGTGGTAATCATGCAACAACTGATATCTCAGCAATTACTCATGAAGAAAATAGCGTATCTATGGACATTTTCATCCCTATTTCATTGGTTTTCAAGGGCCTAAGGTGAAGTGACAAGTCAACTGAATTCAGTATTTTTGAGGCCATCTCCTTTCTAGATTCAATAAAAAGCTGGAAGTGCAAAACCTCATTTGTTAAAGGCACGGTCCGCAATCAGGTATCGAAATTGAAAATATGGCGCCAGGAGGTGAGAGTGGTCGACGAAGAACCCTGTACCGGTTTCGCGGCAAAAAATTCTATGGGAGGGGCGCTATAGCGCAATATAGGTTCAGTGGCTCCTCCTTTTTTTCCAGTGACTCCGCCCCTAGACTCCGCTCCTAATGACCGGCTTCCTAGTGAAAAATGAGACTGCACTACGAAAAAGCACGATAATTCGCCACTTGTACGATCGTAGAGATCTTATCGGTCAATCAGCTGTGCATATGAGGGCGTAGTTTCGGAGATAGAGTTGATTAGGCACGTACAAACTGGAATCGAAGTGGGGTTCTATCTAGGGCAGTTGACATGTGTTTTGTGCTTTTTTTGTTTACAGTTGTACTCAACCCCTTGACGTCCACATGGAGCCCCCTAATCCACACCATCTGAGATGGCAAATAATCGCGGGTTCTACCTTTAAATATAGCCCAAGAAGTGGTGTTTCTAAGATGGCCTCGGAACTTTAAACAACTGAATGATTGTCATTGCGACTCCACAGACAAACACCGCATCTGATGCCTTATTGAGACCGACCGGGAACTTACTGAACCAGCTTTTCACGAAGACCCATGCCAAAGAATGGAAAATTGTTAGAGGCTATGGAATGCCCCCATATCATCCTCAAGCGTCACCCTCAGTTGATAGGAGAGGTTTGAAAGCTATTGGACAGATTCTGCAGGCATCCGCTCCCCAAATGGGCTCTCCATTCCCATCCCTTGATCACTAAAACAAACTTCAAGCCGTCATAGGGAGCATCATCCCTTGGTCCTACACATCATAAGTTTTTGGCCGCTTTCGCGATCCGGAAGCCTAACTTAAGTGAAGAAGCTGGTGTCAGAAACTGTCATTTGTGCCAACCCATCCCTCCGCTTTGACGAACTAAAAACTGACGTGAATCAAAAAACTGGAGAAAGGCAAGCATGCTCCCTTTTAGGGAGGAGAATCATCCATCAAACAAAATAGAACATAATCTCATGATCAAGAAAATTTTTCTTTTCACTTAAAATTTAATGAAGGGAAAATCGCCACTTTGAGCCAACTGAGTATATTACAAGGCACTTCGCAGCAATATCTGCTCGCAAACTTTCCAGTAAGCTTAGGTGAGCACTGATAGAAGCGATCTTACAATTCTATTTTTGTCAAGTGCAATAAGCAAAAAAAATCAATTTTTAATCACATGAATGGCCTATGAGAGACAGGGAAAAAACATGTCATTCCTTCAGAAAAATTGTTGTGCAGATTTCGAGTGCAGGATTGAGATGAACGTCCAGAAAGGCATATGACGATATAGGTCTCATCACAAGTCAATATTTCGACCTGGCACCATCCCTAGCTAGGAATGCATAGCAAGAGCATTCGTTCCGTTGAGCAATGATTGAGCATCAGAAACCGATCCGTTTCTCATGAACACGTCTTCGTCAGATTTAACTGCAGACCGATTTCCCACACGCGGAGTTGAAATCAGCCAGCATTTGCTCCGCTTGCTCGATAGTTTGGTGTGATTAGAACGATGTTGTCAGCCGTCGATCTCCACTCCCATGTCTTCCCACTCCAGTTGACGTAAGAATTTCTGGACAGCGCAGATGAAATGGTCTCGCCCTGTTGGACACTTCTCTTCACGATACTCACTATTTCCCTATAAAATGGCGATATTCTGATCGTTGAGTTG